TCAAGATGCAGCTTATTCTCTATGTCAAAACCGCAAGCGCTGTTTATGTTCGTTAACTTAATTAACTTGATTAAGATCAGAATGAACTTCGTGATACAAACTCGGTTGGGTTTTATTTTTTTAAGATTACGCCTTTGAAATATGCAATGTTTAGAATTGCTCTATCAATGTAACCATGACCAGGCAGAACACCAATATATTATATATCAGTTATTTTTACGCATTATTAAGTAGTGGTTTTAATTTCTATTTTGAAATTACGATTATCAACTCTAAAACAATAATCTTCAGTGTTCTGACTAAATATGCTTTAGTCATAACTGAATTTTCATATTTTATTGGCTATTAGCATAACAAAATTCAAAATTAAAAATTAGTTTGAAGTTTCCGTCATTAGCTTGAAAGACGCACATTTAATTCCCACCTAAAGATCATACGAGCCTTGTCTTACATAATCAGCGTAGTTCACGTTTGTTAACGCAATAAACTGCTTGCTAGTTTAGAATTCAGTTTGCGATCAGACATAATCCCACGTAACATAACAAACATGCCTGAGTTTCTAAGCCATTTCTGAGCAAAGGCTTTCAGTCATTCTAATCCAGCGCCTAACATCAGTTGGGATTGTGTTAAAGATGTTTTCATGGACGTATAAACAAAGGATGAGATGTGCCGGCTATTAGAAGTCCATTTCCGTTATTTGACATCTCCGACCATTACTACCGACAAAACTAAGTTCTTACATACACATAGGCTATAAATTAAGATTTTCCTTTAACACCGAGCGGATGGAGTCGCGGGTGGCATCTAGTCGGTGGTAACGATAATCGATTTATCCAGTATTTTTTCAAATGTTAAAACATAAGCAAAAATCTTATTTGTATATATAAATAGACGATTTTAGACTGGCAATAATTTGACTTGCGTTGCGTTCTATTTTTTTTTCAAAGGGTTTTTTTATTACAATATCTTACAAGATGTCTGGGAAATTCATTGATTATTCATTGAACCTTAAATCGTTTGTATAGCGAACGCAAGTATACCTAAGTTCATTTACTTGATCATATAAACAGCTTTAACATAATATGTAATGCACAAAGTATCACCGTACACTGCATGTGTGCTGACGCAACTGTCTAACGGAATATGGGATGAAGCGTAGATCGAGTTAAGCCAATAAGGGATCTCGACAGAATAGACAGTATTAGTGATAGAATGACAAAGCTGCTTTTAGATATTACGGCTCGAATCGATCCAGACGACCTCATATTGTGCTTTAGCACATTCGATTCTTTTAACCATTTCAAATAATATCAAAGTCGATATTAACATGGAATGTTTGATTGTAGATGCTTCCCGATTCTCTCATAGAAAATGTGGATAGATTGTGTGAAAGAGGATATGCGTAAGAAGGGTCTAGATTCAGTTATAACGGCTGATAGAGATGCGTGTATGTAGAACATGACCCTCCGTAGGGATAAGGTAGGTTGATGCTTCCCGATTCTCTCATGTTACTGGACTACGTACTTCTTTTGCAGACGCTTGAGATGCAAAATGTCAAGGGTTGACTTTATTTAAACGCAAAATAAGTATTGAATATGAACTATACGTAATATCATATCATGTTGGACAGATATTTTGCGAGTTTCAACCACACACTCGCCATGTCCTCGAGTATGTCCTGAAAATAATTATCAATGTTGCGGCGAGTGTCTCTCAGTAGTTAAGTGGCTGTGGATTGTAGAGGCCATTTAATGCAGCTAGGGAATTCAATTTGTTTTATATAGCTGTTACATAACGCTAGAATTATCGTAAATATAAGTTCTCATTGCATAAAGTTCGATCAAACGGGATACTTACCACAATTGGTACACAAAAAGCGTTATGGTGACAGTAAATATATTTCTTTTTTATTAGATTTTTTTTGTAAATTTACTAATATTTCTTTAACCATTCCAACTAAGCTCTAGGCTTGTGCTACGATATGATTTACGACAATAGTCGAATGGCGGGATTCGAACCCCCGACCTCGTGGTCGGGAATCCGTACCCTTAACCATTAGGCTATTGACCCTTATTGTTTACGTATTACGAGATAGATCAATTATGTTGACTGGAATTTTTGCTCAATAATTACTTGTAGGAAATTAATTTAATAGGCATATATATTTTATTCAATACTTTAATACTTATTATATAATAATACTAATATTAGGTGGAAAGCGGATAAGATAATTCTGTACAAACAATCCAACAGAGGTATCAAAAAAAGGGAAGTACAAGTAGAGTACGGTACACTGTAAATAATTTCAAGATGGCCGCCATTGCAAAATGGTCAATGACACATTTTTACTATCTCCTTTGTATCGATTGATAGGATTTGACGAGAAAACAACGTGGTAAAATCCGATTCAAAACAATAATTAAAGATGTAAAAGGAATTGCTAAAATTAGAAATTAATCTCAAATATTTTTAATATTAGTTGTTTTACGAGTTCACTTATTAGAATTATTAATACTAAAATCTATATATTAAGAGATATTAGAAGCTTCCCTCATGAATCTTACACAATAATTGAATCACCGTTGGTAATGGACGTATTAGGACGACAAATGCTTTTACTTTGATATTGAATTATTATGTAGATGGTGTACCGTTAGTGTTGGTCCAATCTAGTATGAGTAAGCTCCCTCTTTGTTTATCTATTTTTAAAACTAATGCCCCAATGCATAAGCAAATATCAGCTAAAACCTCTTAAGTATTTGCGCTTATGTAGCTCGGAAAGTGGTCTTTATATTAGACTTATGTTTCGAGGTTTTTAAGTCAAAAAGTAAAATTATAAAAATTACGCAAAGTTTGACATATGCTTCTAACAATTTTAATTGCCTGATCTTTCTTCATTTTAAATGCGCTTCAGTTTTATGCAAAGTTTAATCTGTCAAAAATGGGTGAAAAGCAAGTTAGATGCGATTTTATGCAATGTTTTAGACGCTTCTGTTTGTTTATTGTAGCGAGGCCGCCGGCGCTGTTTATGTTAGTTAACTTAATTAAGTGGATGGAGTTCAGGCTGCACTTCGCGTTACAAACTTAACCCACATGTTGTGTAAATCCTTTTAAGCGTTAACGCTTTCCTTTACCGAATTAAACCTCGCTAACTGGCTTACAATCAGTTTGGATTAACAATTATTGCATTACAGTATAACAGTCATTTTAAACAACAGACAGTTATTTTAAAGCCACTTTTATTACGATTACAAAGCGAAATAAAAATAACAATGAATAAAATACGTTCCTTCATTTATATGAATAAGTGGAAACAGTAAATTTTGGCGACAAAGTTTTTCTTGGGCTTATGAAGACGGAAAGAAAAATTAACTCAATAATATTTTTCACAGACAATGAACACAAAGTCTAAATAAATACAACTTAAAGCCTCGGTCAATTCACATTTATTTAATTTATAGCATACTTTTTATTTTGATTTCTTTGCTTTTTGTTTTTATCGTAAAACGACTTTTAAAAAAGGAATCATACAAAAATAAAACTGACTTTAAGGACTGAATTTTATATTATGACGTAAAGTATCTGATAAGATTGGATAATCTTGATGTTACTTTAATGTATTAACAACACTTCCTCCCCTGTTGTTATTTCTTACACAATGTCACAATTATCTAAATATTACCTTTTTATTTCGATACAATGCAGTTTAAATGCAAACCGTTAATTATGTTAAGTTTAATGTCACTTGTAATTAATACAATCGTTTTGCCGAGATTTGACCTTTTAGTGGATACGACTGTTGGATTAATTCGAGGTTTACAAGCAACAGACGGTGATTATTCAATGTTTCTCAGAATCTTTCTTCGGAATTTCACAAAATTCTGGTTAAAGTAATTGCCACTTTAACTTAGAAATATTCGATTATAGTCAACGTTATTTTTAAATAAATGTTAGCTTTGTCTTAATAAAATTGCCCAATTTATCTGAATAAATTGTATAACACACAAACAAATAACATTTAGGGTTACATATATATCAGATTATTTAATGCCATCAATTTCAAAAGAAACAATCTGACGTAATATTACGATATGAAAATATAAGAACACATAAGATTAGATAATGTTTGTGAATAGAGTTAATCTTAATATTTATCTTGGAAATTGGGCTTTAAGGTACGCGTACACTAAAACCGACATTACACGAAATACGCTCGTCCGTCGTCGGTTAGCCTGATCCGAACAAAGCAAACGCATGTGAATAAATCTGATTTAGGGCGCTTACACCACTGTCAGCGCATAAAACAATATAGTCCGCCGTTGTTAGCCGATCTCCGGTTAATTAATATAAGAACATGCTCACGCTGTGGCGAACTTCGGACATGTCTGAATTAGCCGGTAGACTACCAGTTATTTGTGACGTATTGGATATATGACAAATTCTCATCAAAGTACTAAAATTAAGTTAAAGATAACACACAACCTAAGTATTGACAATATTGTTTTATTCGTTTAATAGCAATCTTATAAAAAATAAATAATACTTGTCATGTCAATGTTTAACATTGATTTTTTAAAATTTTGATTTAATTCTCTAGGTGTTTCCTGCTAGGCCAACCCGCCTAAATATAAATTTCGCGAAACACCCAATACTCTTTGCTAAATTATTGTGTTAGTAAGAACAAAAATTGTATAAACTTTCTTTCCCATTTATTTTTAAATTCGACTATACGTATATAGATAGACGACAGCATCAGCAGTGTGACAATCTGTGGTGTCAATTCAAATGCACAGTGCGCGGACGTTACTGAGCAGACACCCGACCAATACAAGCGCCCGGCGCGACACGGTGCGGCGTTATTGTCGCAGTTGGCGTTACGGATGAACGCCTCGCATCGATAGCCTCAGCCGCCTGCCTCCTCCTCCCTCCGGCAAACACCGAAAATTTTATTTTGCGCACGCGCAGCGACACGTTTCATGTTCCGAGCTATCAAAAGTTTAAGCCTTTCCTACAAATATCATACGATAATTCGGCTTTGATCTAAGCGTAGTGTAATTGTTGATCGTGTACGTCAAACAAAAATATAGTACTTAAAAAGCTGTATCTATTTATTTCTGCATATTATTTAAGCGTTCGATAGATCAAATCATCGCGCTACAAAATGTATTTTAAAATATGTAATGTTATCGTAATATTTTTAATGTTTTTAAATAAATGTCAAGGTGCCGTGAGAGTGGATCCTCTAGTTGATACTAAAGTTGGTTTAATTCGTGGATTAAAAGCGGATGATGGAGATTACTCAATGTTTTTAGGCATACCGTACGCTGATGTAGATGAAAATAATCCTTTTGGAGTGAGTAATTTTTTTTTCAGTTCCTTAAATAAAATATAATGAATTTCAATGTAAGAAATTTAGATAAAGACTTTTAACAGGTTTAAGTAAAAAAATACTCAAAGATTAATAAGTAACTAGTTAATTATAAATAGAATTTATTTAATCTATGTTTACATTGAGACTATAATAATTACACTAATGTTTTAAATTAATTAGCCGAATGATAAAAATGTTCCCCTGAAATGAAATTATTTCGTATATGTTAAAAGTATTTTTTTTAGTATTTATAGATATTAATAATAATGTTTCTATTTATTCCCAGCCATCTACACCTCACCAAAAATTTGAGGGCATATTTGATGCCGTACACGACTCGGTAATATGCCCCCAAAACTTGGATAACGGTACAGCTGTTGGTGTCATCGATTGTCTTCAATTAAATGTATATGTACCAAAGTCGGCGAATTCCAACAATAAGGTACCAGTACTAGTATATTTCTATGGTGGCAGCTTCTACAGAGGCTATGCTAACAGAGATTTATATGGACCGAGATTTCTCGTCAAGCATGATGTTATTCTTGTGACTGTAAATTATCGAGTGGGAGCTTATGGGTTCATGTGCCTCGATACACCCAATGTTCCTGGAAATCAAGGTCTAAAAGATCTATTGATTGCGCTTAGATGGTTGAAAAATAACATCGAATCGTTTGGAGGAAATGCTAATAAAATAACGTTATTTGGTCAAAGCGCCGGAGGAAGAGCCGTTGATTTTCATTTAATATCTGAACAAGAGAAACTGTTCGATAAAGTTATCATACAAAGTGGTATTTCAATATCTCCACCTGTTATAGGAGAAGTTGATACAAGGGCACCACTGATGCTCGCTGAGAAGATTGGTTTTATCCCTGATAATGTTCCCGAAGCTTTATCCTTCCTCGCTACAGTCGATCCACAAATTGTGGTAGCCGCAGCTTCAGAAATTGACTACACATTTAGACCATGTGTAGAAAATGATTTTGACAACGTTGAAAAGTTTGTCACAGATTATACAAATAATAAAAGGATGCCTAAGGTAAAGACAACACCAATATTGACAGGGTATAATGACAATGAAATGTTTTTCGCACACGCAGGTAGAGACAATGAATACTTTGAAAATCTTAACATATTTGAAGATACTTTGAAAAGTTATTTTGACTTCGATGAAAAACGTTTAAAGGAAATGGCGAATTTAGTTAGACAATTCTACATTGGGGATGAAAAAATGAGTATAGAAAATGTGCAAGCTATAGCCGATTTTCATTCTGATTTTACATACTTACATCCAATTCATAGAAGGACATCTCAAAACATGTTAAATGGAGCTCAAACGATATATCATTACTTATTTTCATACAATGGTAGAAGGAACATGTCGTTTAAAAGAAACGTAACAATGAGCGGCGCGGGCCATGGCGATGAGATCGGTTATCTGTTCCAAACACGGAGTTTGATCAATGATGAGATAACAGTAGAAGATCAAATAATGATTGATCGAATGACAACTCTTTGGACAAACTTTGCCAAATACGGGTGAGTACATTACACTATGTAATGGAAATAAAATGACAATTTTGTAAAGTTATAGTAAAGAAACTGTAGAGGAAAATTAGCTAAACAAGAGTAGGCTTATGTGTCATTATCTCGTATAAAATAAGTATATTTTTAATCGATATTTTTTCCAGTGACCCTACACCAACTGTGACTGAGTTATTGCCAATCAAATGGAAACCTATAACAGAAGAAAAATTATATTATTACAAAATAGATTCAGAAGTTAGTTTGGAGACTAGGCCATTTAGTAAGAGAATGGCTTTTTGGGACTTGTTCTTCAAACACAACAGACAACTACAAAAAGGATATCAAAGGTCTTAGGATGTTCATGAAAAGATGTTTGTATGATTATTAAGAATAAAAGACTTTTTACTACTCAGACTTGCATTATTATTTAGGCTGCTTCTGTTTTAAGGGTTAGTGAAGTCATGGTGTTTAAAATATGTTTAGTAAAAATGCATCTGCAACCTTTAAACTTCGCCGTAACAGCCGTCATATCTGAATCCACCCCCTTCCTACGCATATCCTTATTCACACAGTCCATCCATTTTTTTTTTGGTCTTCCTCTACCTTTGTAGCCATCCATTGAAACATTTGCATTTATAATATAAGTCAGATTTAACATGAAAATACACTAGATGGTGTCGTTGTTAATAAAATACATTGGGATTGTTCTGATGATTTTTCGATAAGATATGAATTTGACAAGTATAAGATAAATCCTATATCAGGTAATGCTTAGAAGCAATTTTTGTCATATCTTTATCAGGATGGAATAAAGATAAAACTGTGCGAATTTCATTTTATTGTATTATTTAATAGCGGGCAGAGATACAAAAATGTGTTTAAAACCGATATTCTTTATAATATTTATCTTCGCGTCATTCAATAAATGTCATAGTATTGATACTCGAGTGGATCCTCTAGTTGACACAAAGGTTGGCTTGATCCGAGGGCTGAAAGCTGAAGATGGTGATTATTCAATGTTCTTAGGTATACCATATGGCAAAGTCGATGAAAACAACCCTTTCGAAGTAAGTATTAAATTCCCGGTATTTTTTATTTCCTAGCTGGCTAAAACAAACCTAAATTATTTAAATATTAGCAGATTTTTGTTAACTTAGTATGTTTCTTATACTATTCCAACTAAGCTCTATCCTTGTGCTAGAATATGATTTACGACAATAGTCAAATAGCGGGATTCGAACCCCCGATCACCTAATCAGAAATCTGTACCGTTAACCATTAGGCCATTGGTGCTTCGTATGCATGTCGCATAACAGTTTTGCAATATTTTACCCACAATTTCCAGCCGTCACTGCCACATGAAAACTTTCAAGAAATTTTTGAAGCTTACGATGATTCTGCTATTTGTCCTCAAATTGAAGAATTTAATAAAACTAACACTGGCTCACTTGACTGTCTCCATCTTAATATTTATGTTCCCGATGTTGCTAGTACAAAATCTCCAGTTCCAGTCCTTGTATGGATACATGGCGGAGGATTTCAGATAGGATTTTCTGGTAGATTCCTGTATGGCCCGAAATACTTAGTAAGACACGATATTATTTTGGTTACTTTAAATTACCGTGTCGGACCCTATGGATACATGTGCCTGGATGATCAAAAAGTGCCAGGAAATCAAGGCTTTAAAGACCAGCTCTTAGCACTGAGATGGATAAAAGATAATATTGGTTCATTTGGAGGCAACTCTAATAAAATAACATTATTCGGGGAAAGTGCTGGTGGAAGATCAGTAGATTATCATTTATTTTCTCAGCAAGAAAAATTGTTCAACAGCCTGATAATACAAAGTGGTACATCATTGTTACCTACGCATATTGGTGAGCCAGAGTCAACACGTACTCTGAATTTGGCTGCGAAACTCGGCTTTGAAACAGATGATGTAAACGAAGCACTCTCTTTTCTTACTAACCAAAGTCCAAATTCTGTTATAGCTGCTATGCAAGAAATAGACAGATATTTGCCTTGTGTAGAAAATGATTATGAAAACGTCGAAAAATTTATATCTGATTATACTTTCAACTTAAACATTCCTAAAGTTAAAAACGTACCAATTTTAATCGGTCATAATGATGCCGAAAGATTACCAAATCATTTAAACCAAAATGCAGACTATTTTGACAATCTTAATATATTTCATGATACGTTTAATAGTGCTTTTAACTTTAATTCCTCGGAATTAATTAATGTAGTGAATAACTTTAGGCATTTTTACATAGGCGATGAAGAAATTAGTGAAAAAGAGTTATTCAACATTATAGATTTTGATTCGGATTTTACTTATGTTCATGCGACACAGAGAAGTATCAAACAGTACATGGAAAATAATGCAGGTGATATATTTTATTATATGTTTACTTACAATGGTGGAAGAAATTTTGTTAAGAAACGAATGAACGTAACATTCGGAGGTGCAGCACATGCTGACGAGATTGGCTATTTATTTGATATATCTTACATGAAGGATGAACCATCGAACGAAGACCAGCTAGTTATCGATAGAATGACGACACTTTGGGCTAACTTTGTAAAATATAGGTAAGACATATTTTAGTTTGAACTAGTTATGCTGCATAAAATTAAAATAATCATTCTAAATCGTGGAAGCGGTTTTGCAGATAAATTAACATAAATATTGTTTACGGCTCTTTTTAAATTTCATATCAATTTGTGGGTTATTGATTTTTATTATTTTTTCGTTTCAGCAACCCTACACCTGAAACATCCGACTTACTACCTGTCGAGTGGAGGCCAGTGGAGGATGAAAAATTGTACTATCTTGATATAAATAATAAACTGACACTTAAGAAGAGACCATTTAACGACAGAATGGCTTTCTGGGACTTATTTTATGAATACAATCATAGCTTACAAAAAGGATATCGAAACTAAATTAACTAAAAAGAAACTATAGTTATTTTAATTATTAGAGTTTATTAATACGTATTATTTATTTGCAAATTATTTATAATTTTTCAATTAACAATTGACAAATTACCAAATTTATTTTTAAAAGCAATTCAAATACTTATTACAAATGCTAATTGTCTAAATAAATAATGTCAATAAACTCAAATACGTGAATGTATTCGTTTGAAATGTTGGTATTAAATAGATGAAATTAACATGTCAGAAAAATAATGAATTTTAATTAGTTTTGTATTACCTTTAATTATTTTTAATTATTGATTTATGGTAACTTAATAAATAATACACTTTTAATCAACTTCGATCTAAGATAAGATATTGTTTTTGTTGATTTGTTCCATCGTGTTTGTACTTACAATGATATTGAAATTATCTGCAAAATAATTTAGAAATCAAATTATCTATTTATAAATGGCCATTGGTCATTGTTTCTTGCAAGACAACAGTAGTTCATAATCGATCCTCTTATCAATCAGTGCCTTAACTTACTTAGGCTAAAATGTATTTGAAAATACTAAAATATACGATAATTTTATATTTAACTTTACTCAGTAAATGTCACTGTAAAACTTTGGACTCTCTTGTCACCACAAAAGTTGGTTTGATTCGGGGATTGAAAGCAGAAGATGGTGATTATTCTATGTTTTTAGGGATACCGTTCGGAAAAGTTGAAGAAAGCAATCCTTTCGGAGTAAGTAATTATGAACTCCTTAATTTAGATTTTTATAGGACTGTCATATTCGTGCCATAACTTAAGTGTTCTTGCATGATCTTAAATATTTTATGGCTTTGTCTCGTAAACTTTACTATATAATGATACTAGAGGTATACTTTTTATTGCAATAGTAAAAATATAAGAAGTAAAAAATCGAAGCTTCAATAGCCTAATGGTTAAGGATACGAAATTTCGATCACGAGGTGATAGATTCGAATTCCGCCATTCGTAAACCATGCCCTGAATACAAACATAGAGCTAAGTTGGAATGGTACAAGAAATATTAGTAAATTTACCAAAAATCTGCTTATATTTATATTTAACAAAAAATACTTTAAAATCTTGCAGCCATCCATACCATATGGAAATTTTGATGGAATTTTTGAAGCCTACGATGATACTGCCATTTGTCCACAAGTTGAAGAATTTAACAACACAATTGTTGGTTCACTCGATTGCCTTCATTTAAACATTTATGTACCCAATACCGCTAAGGCAGGATCTTTACCAGTTCTTGTATGGATTTATGGTGGAGCATTTCAAATAGGATTTGCTGGTAGATTTTTATATGGACCGAAATACTTTGTGAGACACGATATAATTTTAGTTACTGTAAATTATCGTGTCGGACCATATGGATTTATGTGCCTTAATGATCCAAAGGTACCAGGTAACCAAGGTTTCAAAGACCAACTCTTGGCTCTGAGATGGATAAAAGACAATATTGATTCTTTCGGTGGCAACTCGGACAAGATTACGTTATTTGGAGAAAGTGCCGGTGGAGTTTCAATAGATTATCATTTATTTTCCCAACAAGAAAAATTATTTAACAACCTAATAATCCAAAGTGGTACTACATTCTTACCTTCACTTATTGGTGAGCCTGAGTCTACTCGTACACTCAATTTGGCATCAATGTTAGGTTTTGAAACGACAGATTTAAATGAAGCCCTTTCTTTCCTTAATAAGCAGACTACTAATTCAGTTATAGCTGCTATGAGACAAGTACCAAGGTACTTACCTTGTGTCGAAAATGATTTTGAAAACGTGGAAAAATTAATATCAGATTATCCTTTTAACCTGGACATACCCAAGGTTAAAGACGTGGCAATATTAATTGGCCATACCGATGATGAGAGGCTTCCACTGCACGTAAACAAAAATCCAGAATATTATGAAAACTTAAATATATTCCATGGCAAGTTAGTTAACGCTTTCAATTTTAATTCTCTGGAACTAGCAAAGGCTGTTAAAAATTTCAGGCATTTTTATATTGGCGATGAGAAGATTTCTATAAAAGAACAATTTAATATCATAGATTTTGATTCAGATTTTACTTACGTTCATCCAACTCTAAGAAGCATTGAAAAATATAAGGAAAACAATGCCGGAGATATATTCTATTATGTATTTTCTTATAATGGTGATAGAAATTTTGTCAAGAAAAGGGTTAACATAACGATTGGTGGTGCAGCACATGCTGACGAGATTGGCTATTTATTTGACATATCTTACATGAAGGATGAACCATCGTACGAAGACCAGCTAGTTATTGATAGAATGACGACACTTTGGGCTAATTTCGTTAAATACAGGTAAGTGTACTAACAAATAAAAACTCTAATAAATGAATTATTCGAAATTCACTCAAGTAATACATAGTAAAAACTTCATTTTTTTTATTATGCGTTTGTACTTAAAAGGGTGGTAACAATGATACTTTTGTTAAGAAAATAATTTTATTTCAGCAACCCAACGCCGGAGACTACAGACTTATTACCTGTCGACTGGAAGCCTGTGGAAGATAATTTACTGCACTACCTTGAAATAGATTCAGAGCTGACATTAAAGAAACGACCTTTCAATAAGAGAATGGCATTCTGGGATTTATTTTATAGGCACAATTATAAGTTGCAAAAAGGATATAGAAATAGGGACAACTGATAGCATTTTGCTGACTAATATTTTGTTACAATGACAATGAATGAATACCCTAAAAAATTTGTAAATCTACCGATAAATTGTATTGTATTGTAAATCAGTTTCGCTTTCCCTAGCATTAAGAGGCATTGAATATTATTTGCATGTTTTTAAAATCAATTCTAAATCTTATAAATGATGAATAAATACAATGCGTTTAATTTATGTACCATTTAATTGTATCGTTAACATTTTTAATATTGTATTCTTAAAACTACAAAAGTTCAGAATCGATATTATATTTTTAATTGATTTCATAATTATTGAACAATATTCGAAGTAAAGCTTCTTAGTTAAATAGGAAATGTGATGACTGCGAAGTTAACACATTTGAAGTTAGTAGAAAAATGTCAAAAACCGCAGAGCATTTATAATCCGTCCTCACTTTCCCGGCCAATGTTTAATTGAGCGAAAACAGTCCTTTTCATGTAATTAAAAGAGTGGTGAATATTTTTCATTTTATAATAACTCTGATAGACAGAATTAAAGGCAAATTACAAGGAATACTCGAAGTTAACGTCAAATTTAGATCCATAGCACCTAAATTCTTCTATACTTTACATTTAAAATTTTTATTAAATAAATAAAATAAGTCCAAGTGCATTTGAAAATAAAGTTAATTTGACCGGAACCATTTGAAGTGTAATTTTCTTGATGTTGCAAATTATTATCATATCGAAATTAAATATTAATATATTCCACAATAAAGGGAACAAAGGGCAAAATTAATGAACGCTCATCTCGTTTACCATAAGAAACAGCAGTAAAAACGAAAGTATATTCGAAAATTTTAATTATTATTACATTGTAAAGTCCATAATAATATCTTTACGTTAAATACGAAAGAGTTAATAGTTATTATATATTTAAGGAAGACGTAAATTTTGTATGATTAAAATTGAATCCATGAATGCTAATCAATAGCGCAGAATTTCGATTATTAGGTATAATATGCTGGGCATATATGGGATATGTCGTTGCTTGGAAAAGAAATCTCTTGATTTGTAGTTGTTACTGTTGACTAAATCCATATCTATTGTTAGTTTGACTTTCTATCGAAAAACTACAGCCTACAGCCTGTCCAGAGGAATAGAGGTAAGCGGTTGACTTTTAATCTTTCCATTTTGTTGACTCAAAAGGTACTACTGGGTATACATACATCTCTAACAACCGTCATATCTGAATTTACTTCTATCTTGCACATATCCCCTTGATTTATGAATGTGAAGACAGCAAAAGGGAATGAACTGAAACGTTGAAGTGAATTCGTAATTAATTTAGCTGACGTCTACAACCATTCGTTTACTTTTTTACCGCATCGTTTTATCCACATTTGACGTTGCGAAATTGTTAAACGAATAGCTTGATCACAATCCATGATACAAAGAAAATTCATAAATCATTCTAAGTTTCGAAAAGTATTCTATAAAAAAAATAACAGAGAGCGTTACAAAGTGGTAATTTTAAGAACTGGCTGAAAAGTTCCTTTGTCTTTAAAAAAAATTGTTTGAATCATAGACCACACGGCAAACACAAAATATATAGTGCGACAAACTTAACTGACCCATGGAGGGAGACGCTGTTCGTGGTCCAAGAATATGTCAAACGTAGCACCCACCCACAAAACACAAACAAGCCAAGAAACTTGAAAAAATTATGTGCAGGAGTATAGAGTCGAAAATATTTTTTTTGTTGTTAAGAATTATAAACGGCAAAAATCTTTTCACGTAATAAGATACAGATATCAACATAATCTTGTTAATAATAAAGATTTTTATTTTTTATAAAACCGATTATGATTACACTAATCAAATCTTTGCACTGATTTTGGAAATAATCGATTAATTTGTTTTTCTTTTTAGAATTAAAATGATTGATAGGTTTGATTGGGGGTATCATCAGATAACATTTTATATGATTACTCGATATATTATAAGATAAATTTAAATTATCACTGTATCAAATATTTTATCTAAATTATTTTTCTTTCTTATCAGTATCGACTTTTTATTTACACTTATGTTTTCACGTAAAACATAATTGCGGTGCAAAATGATTTTTAGGTATCTGGGCTGCCAATTAGTATCAATGAAAAAATCACCAAAAAAGCTACGAGAAGACAGCCTTCGCCGAGTTTGCCGTATTAGCGAGTAAGGCAATTAACGTAAACAAAAACGGCCATATTTAATAATGAATTGTTTCAAGCACTTTAGGGGATTGTTATTTACGAAAAGGCTTAAAGTATATTACAGCTCAATGATCACATCTCGTCCAGCATTCCAGCGACTGTTGTGGTTGAAGTCTGAAGATCCTGCTGCAGATCGCAACGTGAAAGTGCTCTGCAAATGTTTGAGAGAACCTAATTAAGACGTTATTACTTGCCCGCTATAGCTAGCGGGAAAACAATTCTATTTAATTACTGAAGTATTTCAATATTAATCTTAGTATTTTTGTAAATGCGAATGTTTATATGGATGGATTTTAATGAAATTTGGCATACGTATAGAACATAGTCTAGAAGAACACATAGAATAGAACTCTTTGGGTTTCTTTTTACATTCCGCGCGGACAAAGTGGCGGCCGACAGCTATTTTTCAAATAAATTGTAAATCACTTTTCATCTAGAAGAATGTGTTGCCTGACTCGCTTAATTAATAATGACAAATTAAGATTTAAACACTTTAAAAATTTGAAGTACATTTCACGATATATGTACCACACTGTGCCTTTCGTTTGAAGGTCAATATAATTGAAACACATTATGATTTAAAATCAGTTTCATCAGCATGAGCTTAGCATTTATATTGTTTTTCAAAATTATCAGTCTCTATACTATACGTATAAAAGGTTAAAATGATAAAAAATCACGATAGAAAGAGTTAATCAAATCGAGAATTGCGATCTTAATGTGATAAATACGAATACTGTAAATGGAACCGTATTTATAGTTAAGAACACTTCATACGCACATAATTAAGGTAAAATTGGTAATCCTTTGTAAACTTACTTCAAAAACTCACAGTTACTTTTTTCCAGTATGCTTGTGATAAATGCTTGGATTATTCTCAGTTATATGTTTTTTTAGAAACAAAATAAATTCCGCTTGAAAAAAAAGACATAAAATATAATTAATTCAGCTGACGTCTTGCAATCATTAATTCAGTTTTTGTCGCGTCATATTTTATCATTCCAGCATCCGTACTTGACGTTGCAAAAAGCTTCGTCGCTGGCCGCGCCACTCCATCCTTTAAAAAACGTTCCCGGATATTTCATTTAGTGTAATAACTGAATTGTTAGTATTTTAAGCAATGAATTCTCAATACCGATCGCAGCATTTATCGACGATTTCTGAAACTGAAGATGTATTTCGATATTGAATGTCGCCAATTATACAAGAGCACTATTATGTAAAACCTAAACTTGAAAAATCAAGCCTTACAATGTTTAACTGTATATCATATATGCATGTTTTTATCTTTCACATTCTAAACCTATTTTTCTAGAGGTTTCCAAACATACAATACTTAAATATAACAATTCCCAGAGCTATTTTTAAAAAAGGAAAGGGATTTTTGCAGCTTTTCCTTGTAAATAAGCAAACTCCTCATATCTATCCCGCGGGAACATCCCTGCTAGCGTATTGTGAACTCGCCGCACTGTTTGCCGATTCAGATCCGCACGCCCTCTCTTGTTTGTTTAACGTAATGGATGTAAAAATAAATTTAGTATACGCAACCATTATACGGTTTCAGAAATATAACCAAAAACCTAACATACAACTTTCAACAGTGCTTATTCGCTGGTTAATCGTAAACACGTGGTATTATTCCAAATTCTATATCAAACTTTCAATTTTTTTTGTTGAGGATGTCATCTTTTGGTGTACAAAAATGGCACCTTTTTATAATACGTTAGGACAGGGTCGCATCATCTATTTAGAACTATTTCAAATCACGGAGTACATACACGATACTAAACACGAATATGACACTACGATTTCTTTCGTTATCCTAAATAATTCCAAGAAGCAGTGGTGCAACATTTGATATAAAATAATGTTTTAATTGGTAATATTAGATTGTAAATGCAACTTGTGGACTCTCAAAGGAAATTAATTACATGAACGTAATTAGAAAAATGTCAAATAGGTTCCGCCGTATTTATAGTGTACATTCAAGTACAGACTTAACGGAAATACACGTTGTGAAACCAAAGATGGCGCGAAGAGAAATAACCTCAATAGTTTGGTATGGTCGAATAACTATTGTTTTTTGTTTTTCTTCTTTTGGTGTACAATCCTAATGAACGTTAGCGACCATTATGCCAACTTTAACAACAAAGCAGATCATTATCATAGAGCTTGATTTTAATAGTATTTGATAGTTACATGAATAAGTTTGTCGTCAGTTCTCTTTATCGCTCATGTAGTAACTCGAGACAATCCTAAGTAGGGATTATTAAGCTTAGTTAACAGCGGTGGCTCGGTGCGGATTGGTTGACTTCAGACCCACCATTGAATTTCTTTAGAGTGGGCCTATGATGAATATTTTTGACAATTACTGTCGTACAGTTTTCTATATAATTTGTATTCAAATTTGTGCAGCGCCATCTATCGGTCAATCATACATTTTCGCAATAGGCTCGCATATATGTGCTTATAGCATCACAATGTATTCCTTTAAAATGAAATAAATAATTTCGTAGAAAAGCTTCATAACATACTGATGGTATATTGTTAAGTCATCAAACACTAGTTCACTTTGTGTGGTAAAAATGTAGCAAATTTCAAACATGTGCCATAAATCTTTAAAAAATTGTAAAGTTCCCCAGCTCGTTCGCCGGCTGCTGTTCCTAGTGAAACTTCGATCCATTTTCATGCATATTAAAGAATTATGTGCACTTCTCTCCGCTCGGACAGTATCTCAATAATTTTATTTAAAAAATTTAATTCTCAACATTCATTCTGAACAGCTGGCCATTTGATTATGCAACTATTTTTATAAAAATACTAGCTGTGGCCCGCGACAC